GCGGCCCGGGCGGGGCGGGGCCGGCACGCCAGCGCCACCTGTCGGGCCCGAGACCCTGCCCTCGCAGCCCGGGACTTCCGCACGCTGCCGTCTCCCCGGCCCTCCTTACCCCGCAAGGAACCCTTGGCCTTGTACGGCGGCACCTGCCACGCGGTCTCTGGCCAGGGCGCAGATGAACTGAGTCTGGAGACCCTGCCAGGCCGTGCGGTGTGGGAGGAGCCTGCAGGGCGTGCTCCGACCCTGGCGGCAGGGGCCAGGTGGGGGCAGCATCTTCACCGGCCCCGCGTCCCCCTCGCACCAAGGTAGAGAAGGCAGGGGCAGTGAGGGCCTGACCAAGCCATCCCCGCCTACTCTAAGTACACGACGGTGGCAAAACAAGCTTCAGATCGAAGGGGGTCATGAGAAGGGCCCCCGTGGGACCCCCGGACACTGGCAGTGTCCCTAAAGCTGAATAGAGCCCAACTCCGTCCGGAGGGCATAGCAGCTCAGGCAGGGGCGGCCCTGGGTCTGCCCCAGGCATGCCTCAGGTAACAGGCCATAGCCGGGGTGGCCTCCGTCCTTTCTCCTTGACAAGATGCCAACGAGCTCATCAAAAGCACCTACGCTAAACCAGGCACGAGGAACTGGAGGGGGAAGAGAGCTGAGAGCACGGGAGATGCAGAAGCTTTATTTCAATGGAATGTCATACAAAATACCTTCGGATTCCTACTCCCCTGGTTGAGTCTCGGTGTGGGACATGAGCGAGCCAGAACGACCACCACCCCAAACTGGAGGGACAAGAGATGACCGGGGTCCCCCAGGACACCCTGGCCAGGGGAGGGGTGAGGAAGGAGCAGCTGAGGCCCAGGACCTGACTCAGGTGATCCCCAGGAACAGCTCAGTTAAAGACTGGGGTAAAGGGAGGTGGCCTGAGGGCAAAGGGGAGGCTCTAACTAACCTAGAGCCTGAGAAAATGCCCCAAATGGGAAAGGCAACGTGAGGGTTAGACCATGATACACTGAAGCAATGCGAGTTCTTGTATACTGGCTATCTGATTTAAGGTTCTCAATGAAACATTAGTTTTCTGCAAAGACACACACACACACACACACACACACACACACACACACTCAGCAGCTGCCTCCCTGCAGCCCTGGAAACCCAGGTGGGCCTGAGCACCCGCAACTGCACCTAGACCTTTATAATAAGCAGCCCAGAGCAGGAAGCCTCAGTGTGCAGGGTCCAAACAGACCAAAGATCAGACCAGAGACAGGCAGAATAGGCCCCATGGAGTGAGAGTCACAGTACCCACAAGGGTCAGCTCTTGCAGAGGCTGGAGCCGGGGCCAGAGTGAGGGCCCACCTGCCCAGCTGTCACAGCCCAACAGGTGGCCAGAAGGGGTGGCAGACGTGTTGGGTACATTTTTCCCTCTTGTACCTCATCAGTGAAGTTTCTCCTCTGCATCTAGACAAGCATCTGCGTGGGTCCCTGTATGCTGGGCCAACTATGCCCTTACCAGGCTACCTTCCCCATCACTGGGCTGCTTCAGGGCCATGGCCCTCCTGGGGCTATAGACAACCCAAGCAGGCCCTGAGGCCAGCTGGCCAGCTGTGAGCTCCTTACCCCAACAGGGCTAACCTAGCACCCAGAGACAGAGGAGCCACCCACAGCAGACTGGGGCAAGGGCTGCCACCTTCACCCGCTCCTGCACATCAGCACACCCCATGCACTTCCGGCAGAAGCCCGCTGAGTCCCACAGCCATGACCAGCCCTGTCCTGGGAGAGAACAGCCAGGTTGGACACATTTGTAGACATGGAGAGCTGGGCTCAGGGCGAGGAAGCAGACACTTAGCACAGACTCTCCCTCTAGAACTGGAAGCAGAGGTGCCTGGAGGCTGCAAGGACTGAGAAAATGGAGTCTGAGGAATTGGGTCCCTTCCTGTCGTGAGCAGTGATGTGACTTCACAGGCAGGTGGAGGAGAGTGAAACAGGGAGCATTCTTTCAGCTTTAACGTTGTTGAACAAGGTGGTGGGGGCCAGCAGGTGGTGTGGTGGTTAAGGCAGCTGGATCCCACAGGGCCGACTGCTCCGTTCAAGTCCTGGACCTAGTGGCTTAAAAAGCACACCAGGAAAAAAAAAAAAAAAAAAAAAGCACACCAGGTGTGTGTGCGTGCATGCCTCAAGTCCCAAGGGAATGGAGAAAGGTCTGTGGCATGGCCACCCCTCCAGAGTGTGCTTTCTCACCCCCTCCACTCTCTCTGGTAAGTTAACGAACCCTATAGCAAACTTAAAAAAAAAAAAAAAAAAAAAGCACACCAGGTGTGTGTGCGTGCATGCCTCAAGTCCCAAGGGAATGGAGAAAGGTCTGTGGCATGGCCACCCCTCCAGAGTGTGCTTTCTCACCCCCTCCACTCTCTCTGGTAAGTTAACGAACCCTATAGCAAACTTAAAAAAAAAAAAAAAAAAAAAGCACACCAGGTGTGTGTGCGTGCATGCCTCAAGTCCCAAGGGAATGGAGAAAGGTCTGTGGCATGGCCACCCCTCCAGAGTGTGCTTTCTCACCCCCTCCACTCTCTCTGGTAAGTTAACGAACCCTATAGCAAACTTAAAAAAAAAAAAAAAAAAAAAGCACACCAGGTGTGTGTGCGTGCATGCCTCAAGTCCCAAGGGAATGGAGAAAGGTCTGTGGCATGGCCACCCCTCCAGAGTGTGCTTTCTCACCCCCTCCACTCTCTCTGGTAAGTTAACGAACCCTATAGCAAACTTAAAAAAAAAAAAAAAAAAAAAGCACACCAGGTGTGTGTGCGTGCATGCCTCAAGTCCCAAGGGAATGGAGAAAGGTCTGTGGCATGGCCACCCCTCCAGAGTGTGCTTTCTCACCCCCTCCACTCTCTCTGGTAAGTTAACGAACCCTATAGCAAACTTAAAAAAAAAAAAAAAAAAAAAGCACACCAGGTGTGTGTGCGTGCATGCCTCAAGTCCCAAGGGAATGGAGAAAGGTCTGTGGCATGGCCACCCCTCCAGAGTGTGCTTTCTCACCCCCTCCACTCTCTCTGGTAAGTTAACGAACCCTATAGCAAACTTAAAAAAAAAAAAAAAAAAAAAGCACACCAGGTGTGTGTGCGTGCATGCCTCAAGTCCCAAGGGAATGGAGAAAGGTCTGTGGCATGGCCACCCCTCCAGAGTGTGCTTTCTCACCCCCTCCACTCTCTCTGGTAAGTTAACGAACCCTATAGCAAACTTAAAAAAAAAAAAAAAAAAAAAGCACACCAGGTGTGTGTGCGTGCATGCCTCAAGTCCCAAGGGAATGGAGAAAGGTCTGTGGCATGGCCACCCCTCCAGAGTGTGCTTTCTCACCCCCTCCACTCTCTCTGGTAAGTTAACGAACCCTATAGCAAACTTAAAAAAAAAAAAAAAAAAAAAGCACACCAGGTGTGTGTGCGTGCATGCCTCAAGTCCCAAGGGAATGGAGAAAGGTCTGTGGCATGGCCACCCCTCCAGAGTGTGCTTTCTCACCCCCTCCACTCTCTCTGGTAAGTTAACGAACCCTATAGCAAACTTAAAAAAAAAAAAAAAAAAAAAGCACACCAGGTGTGTGTGCGTGCATGCCTCAAGTCCCAAGGGAATGGAGAAAGGTCTGTGGCATGGCCACCCCTCCAGAGTGTGCTTTCTCACCCCCTCCACTCTCTCTGGTAAGTTAACGAACCCTATAGCAAACTTAAAAAAAAAAAAAAAAAAAAAGCACACCAGGTGTGTGTGCGTGCATGCCTCAAGTCCCAAGGGAATGGAGAAAGGTCTGTGGCATGGCCACCCCTCCAGAGTGTGCTTTCTCACCCCCTCCACTCTCTCTGGTAAGTTAACGAACCCTATAGCAAACTTAAAAAAAAAAAAAAAAAAAAAGCACACCAGGTGTGTGTGCGTGCATGCCTCAAGTCCCAAGGGAATGGAGAAAGGTCTGTGGCATGGCCACCCCTCCAGAGTGTGCTTTCTCACCCCCTCCACTCTCTCTGGTAAGTTAACGAACCCTATAGCAAACTTAAAAAAAAAAAAAAAAAAAAAGCACACCAGGTGTGTGTGCGTGCATGCCTCAAGTCCCAAGGGAATGGAGAAAGGTCTGTGGCATGGCCACCCCTCCAGAGTGTGCTTTCTCACCCCCTCCACTCTCTCTGGTAAGTTAACGAACCCTATAGCAAACTTAAAAAAAAAAAAAAAAAAAAAGCACACCAGGTGTGTGTGCGTGCATGCCTCAAGTCCCAAGGGAATGGAGAAAGGTCTGTGGCATGGCCACCCCTCCAGAGTGTGCTTTCTCACCCCCTCCACTCTCTCTGGTAAGTTAACGAACCCTATAGCAAACTTAAAAAAAAAAAAAAAAAAAAAGCACACCAGGTGTGTGTGCGTGCATGCCTCAAGTCCCAAGGGAATGGAGAAAGGTCTGTGGCATGGCCACCCCTCCAGAGTGTGCTTTCTCACCCCCTCCACTCTCTCTGGTAAGTTAACGAACCCTATAGCAAACTTAAAAAAAAAAAAAAAAAAAACCCAAGGTGATGAGGAGCCAGCCCTCTGCCCTCAGCTGTGGCCCCTTGGAACAGGCCTTTCCTGGCAGGTGGGCCGCAGAGTGAGGACAGCATCATCCAGCGCCTTGCGTCTGGGCTGCACAGACAGAAACAACCACCTCGAGCTCCTTCTCACTTCATTGTTGGGTCCCCAAACCAAGTCCTACATTCTCCCTGTGATCCTCCATGGCGCTGTCCCAGCAGGTGGCTTCAGGGCTGCTGCCTGCTCTTGCGCTCTTGATGGAGACCAGAACCAGGCCTTTTGGAAGGTCACCTGCAGTGAAGGCCGGCCCCTCCTGCTCTGCGAGCTAGCTGCCTGCCTTCTTCATGCAGTGGAAGAGGTTGCAGAAGAACTCGTACCAGAAGAACATGAAGCCTGTGGACAGTGCAGCCTTCAGCAGGCTGGGGGACAGGCCCTTGAAGAAGCCCTGGGCGCCTTCCTCCCGTAGCACCTGCTTGGCGCAATCCCGGAGACCCCTGTAGCTCCGTACCTGGGGAGAGGACGTTACATATGGTTGGGGAAGGCAGAGGCAATTAAAACACGACTGTCAGCTCTATTCTGTGCCAACACAGTACCCAGCACACCACGGCCCCCAGGCAGTTCTTGCTGGGTGAAGGGATGAAAACAGACAGCGAGTGAGTGAAAGTGCTCTCCTATCAATGCCAAGAGGCTGGGTCAGCCTTCACAGTGAGTGTGCCCAGAAATAAGCAGCCGGGCAGAGCGCCTTCCTGCCAGGGGCGCAGGGCCCACCAAGGCACTGAAGGATCAGGCCACACCTGACCCTGGCCCTCAGGTGTCTCTGAGCCTCTGACCCTTCACCCCTCCCACCTGGTCCCCTCAGGCAGTAGATCTGACCAGCTGTGTTAGCTCTTGGCCTGCCCAGTGCCACCTCTGCAGCCTGGCCTTCTGCCTCTGGCCTCCGCTTCTCCAGCTGAGCATACACACTGCAGCCAGACTGCGTCCCCAAGGCATCGCCCTCTTCGCTCCCCTCCAAAAGCACTAAGAACTCCTGATGACATCATAGAGAAGCTAGACCACACTCGGTCTGGCACTCAGGGCGTCCCCTCCTCGGCCTCTACTTCCCTCCCTGACCTGACGTCTCCACTGGTCCTCCCATGCACCACCTCCCCCTCCTGCCAAACCAGATTAATCTTCACCAGGAGCAGGGCCTCCCTTCTCTGCCCTGGGCTCTCGCCACCTCTCCCCATTCAAATTCCATCCAAATTCCAGCTGTCCCTCCACGCAAGCTGGTAACTGGAAAAAGGAAGTCACAAAACCTTGTATACAGTGAGCCCAGTGTGTTCTTGTCTGTGCAAAGAAGTACAATTACACCAAAGTTTCTTTAATATTCAGGGACCTTTCCTAATTCTATGTCCAAACTGGGTTGGATAGACACGGGGAATCCCCCTTGACCCAGATATTCCCACGGCGCCCGAGACTGACTTGCATTTGGCTTTCCTGTGTGCTCGAGAGTCCCCGGGAACAAGCTGGGATGCAGGGGCCATGGGGGCCAAGGCTGCCCGATGGGCAGGAGCGGACTGTGTGCCTGGCGAGGGCAGGGCCAGTGCTGGCTGCCCGGGGGCAGCTCACCTGGCCAAAGGCAGCTCGGGCCTGCTCGAACCCTCCCACTTGCAGCCTCTTCTTGAACAGGTCCAGGGGATAGGTGAGTGTCTTGCTGATGACGCCGGCTCCACTGCCACAGAGCAGGTTTTTGAGGTTCTCTGAGTCAGAAAGTGGGGTTGAGGGAAAGAGGAGAAGCGCACTCTGGCACTCAGACGCGAACCGCGGTCGACTACATGGCAGGCCAGCGACATAGCCATTACGCTAACTGCTGGTCCCCTCTCTGGCACTCGGAAGTCAGGTCTACTCCCCCACCACACCAGAACCATCCCAGAGGAGTTTAGTGCAGGAGCCAGGCAGCAGCTGCACCGGCCAGAACGAAAGTGGATGGTGCTGGCCGGGCTGGCGACAGCGGGGCCTGCACTTCCCGCAGCGATTCTCCAGCTGCAGGTGGTAAGGGGGTGCTGGCTCTGCACCGAGACTCAGTTCCAGGCTGCAGAGGAGCAGGACATGCTCCCCACTCCCCTAAGAAAATGAAAACAAAAACCCACAACCAAGAACTAGGCAACGTGCAAGCTGGACTTCTGACAAAAATGAAAACCAGGGCCAGGCACCAGAAATGGGCTTGGTAAGGCCGGCGATGGGTGTGGCAAGAGATGGGAGAAGTCTGGGATTTGTTTTGTCAGCCACAGCCAGGGGCTGAGAACAGCGGTGCCTCAGCTCGTGACAGGGAAATGTCACTTCCTTCAGGATTCACAAAGCGACGTCATGGCAGGGGTGGGGTGGGATGGGGTGCTTCTCACCGTTCTTCTTTCCCTGGGTCGGCATGGCCCACTCGAACGCGTGCTTCAAGGAGTTGTAACAGGAGAACTGGAAGCCCGCGTAGGGGAAGATGGCGATCAAGGTAGGGTTCAGGCCTTTGTAGAAGACCCAGGGGCCTTCGGTCCTGTACATGGTCATCACGGCCTCTCGCAGCGTCTTGTAGACCTGGACACACACACACGCAACTCGAAGGTGCCCGGGAGGTAGCTGGAGCCCCAGAGCGCGGCCCACGGCGGTCTCCCCTCATCTACAACCCAGGAGCCTAACTTCTGCCAAGACTCCTTTCCAGCAACTCCTACGAATTTACACAACTGTTAGATCCACCTGTGTGAAAAGTCACACAGCCTCCTGGGAACAGCGAAGGGATGTCTGTGAGCGATGGTTACGTAAACCCTGGCACTCGGCTCACAGAACACGGAGCAGCTCTTTAAACGAGGTGACACGGTCTCCACGACTGATACGCGACAATCCCCAGAGCACACACACGAGCATAGTACAGTTCGGGTGTGTCTCCCCACATTTTTGTGTTAAAATTCGGTTGCTATTGTGCCAGTGCCAAGAGGGTGGAGGCAGGGCACAGTGACAGGTGTCTGCAGACTCAGCTACTCAGGAGGCTGACGGGGGAGGATCATAAGTTTAAGTAAGCCTGGGCAACATACCAAGATTCTGTCTCAAAAAAAGAAAAAAAAAAAAAAGGGTTGGTGGGGCCTTGCGCCAGCCGGTGGCCTGCTGGTTAAGGCAGTTGGATCCCACAGGGCCAGCTGTGTGGTTCGCATTCTGGACCCATTGGCTTAAAAAACATGCTGGGCGTGTGTGCTTGTGTGACCAAAATCCTTAAAAGAGAGAAAAATGGAGGACTGCAGTGTGGCTCTTCCCCAGCAGGGTGTTCTCTCGCTTTACTTTCTCTCTCTCGAGGGAGTACACAGCCCTCTGGTAAGTTAGAAAGAAAAGGGTGAGGAGTTGGCAGTAGGCGGTGTGATAGTTAGGGTGCTGGACCCCACATGGCCAACTCCAGGATTTGCGTCCTGGATGTGCTGGCTTGAAAACCACGCAGAGGGTGTGTGCATGCGTGCCCAGAATCCTGAGAAGGGAGCGGAGGAGAAGGGATTGCAGAGTGGCTATCCCCCTGGGGGGTGATTTCTTCCTGTTTCTCTGTCAAGTGAGCCCACGTACCACATAGCAAAAATCTCCTTTAAAAAAAAAAAAAAAGAAGAGAGAGACCAGCAGTTGGCGTAATGGCTATGTTGCTGGACTCCCATGTACTCGACCGCAGTTCGAGTCCCGGATCCGGTGGCTTAAACTCACACCGGGCGCATGTGCGTGCCTGCCCAAGATTCCAAGAGAATGGAAGAGAAGGGATTGGGGTGTGGCCATCCCCCTGGGGGGTGATTTCTCACTTTCTGTTTCTCTGTCTGTCTGGTGAGCTCAAGCTCATGTGGCCTTTAGGAGGAAAAAAAAAAAAAAAAAAACCTCTCCAAAAAAATAATAAATAAGTAAAAATTCTGCTCAATATTATTAGTCATTAATGGCGTGGTGGTTAAAGCACTGGACTCCAACATGGCCAGCCAGGGTTTGAGTCCCAGACCTGGTGGCTTGCTTTCCTACTCCCCCTCCCTGCTCTGGTCAAATTAAAAAATAATAATGATAATAAATAAAATTAAATAAATAATTCTTAAAAAAAAAAAAAAGTAAATTAAAACCAAAATGAGATACCACTACTTACATCAATTACAATGGCTAAAATTTTTTAAAAATACTTAAACTTAACTGATAAAGCTGGGTGGCCCAGTGGCACAGCAGTTAATCATGACGCACAGTGGGATGGCTCCTACAGGGAGCCACTCTGATTCCAGTCCCGGCTCTGGAGCCTGAAAAATACTTCAGGCAAGTATGTGTACATACCCCGAATCCTGATGGGATGGGGAAAGGGAAGGAAAGACGGCAGTGTGCCCACCCCATGGGGGGTACTTTCCCTCTCTGTCCGGCAATCACACCCCCCGGCAATTAAACAAAAATAATGGTGGGTCCGGCAGGTGGTGGAGCGGTAATGCTGTTGGACTCTTCATATGGCTGACCACGGTTAGAAGCCTGGATCCGGTGGCTTAAAAATCAAGCTGGGTATGTGTGCGTGCATGCCCACGATCCTGGGAGGAGAAAGGGTTGTGGCATGGCCGTTCCCCGGCGGCTGATTTCTCACTTTCACTCACACTGTCTATCTCTGTCTCTCTGGTGAGCACATGTGCCCTAAGGCAAAACCCTCTTAAGGGCAGAAGAAAAAAGATAATGGTAAATATTGATGAAGATACAGGACAACTGGATTTCTGGTAGGAATATGAAATGGTATAGCCACTTGGGAAACAATCTGGCTTTTCTTATAAAATAAACATTATTGGGGTCAGCAGCTGGCGTGGTGGTTAAGGGTACTGGACTCCCAAACGACCGACCACAGTTTGAGTCCCAGACCTGGTGGCTTGCTTTCTCATTACCCCCCCACACACACACACACTACCCATCTCTGATCAAAATAAATAAATAAAATATTCTTAAAAAAAAAAAAAAAGATTAATGAGACCAGCAGTTGGTGTAATGGCTATGTTGCTGGACTCCCATGTAGTCGACCACGGTTTGAATCCCAGACCCCATGGCTTAAACTCATGCCGGGTGCGTGTGCGTGCGTGCCCAAGATCTAGAGAGGATAATGGAGAAAGAGTTGCATCATGGCCATCCCCCCTGGGGGAGGATTTCTCGCTTTCTGTCCCTCTGTCTTTCTGGTGAGTGCACACGCCCTATAGCAAAAACCTCTCCAAAACAAACCCAAAAATTAAACATTAATATAAAACTCAGCAAACCCACCGCTAGGTATTTACACCAACAAGAAAACGTAAAGGTAATGACCATGTGTGGGTGTACTGAAAGGGGGTGGGGGCGGCTGGGCAGGGAGGGAACCTGACCGTGGAGGTGCTACGTGACCATGCTTGACACCTTTGGAACTGTGCTCTAGAAAGAGATTATGGTGGGAGGCCTACGGTTCAAGCAATACAGAGAAGCGGCAGGACCGAAACAGCTATTTTAACTGGCTCCAGCTCAAATTCTTCAGCAAAGTGCCCTTCCTTCCCTACGACCGGCACCCTAGAGCGGGAGGCAGTGGAGAAGAGTTCGTTCTTGGCTGAGAACACGAGTGGGGAAGTGCAATGCACGCACACTCATGCACACGTGCTAGTCTTAAACAAGCCCAGGAGGCAGAGATGAGGGTGGTGATTCTTCCCTGAGTCTGGCTCAGTCCATTCCCTCCGACCCATGCTGGGAGGAGACCAAAACCGCCCTCACAACAGTACAGCAGCTTGTTCTCTCGCATCAGTCTCCCGACCGTCCTCCACGCAGCCCCCGTGGGGGATCTGTTCTCTGCAGCACACCTCCCTGTAGGTTCTGGCTCCTAGGGAGGCTGTGAGCCCCCTGAAGAACAGAATCCTGTGCATGGAGCTGACCAGTTTCAGCTCTTACAAGCCGATGGGCTCAAAACCCAAGCTGTCCAGCTCTGCCTTTCTTCAAGAAAAAGCGCCCTGACTCCTGCAAACGCCCTCCTGATTTGGGTTCCCCTCCTCTGGCCCCGGCCACTCACCCTGGGCTCACCCTGGGCGGCAAAGCGAGTGCGCAGAACATCCACGGGGTGCACGGCGAGGGTGGCCATGCAGGCAGACAGGCCGCCACACACGAAATGCACTGAGAACTCCTGGGCGTTGTACGCGCTGCCTCGGTGCACCAGCTCAGTCAGGAATTCAAACGACAGGAACTGTGAGACAGGTGAGAAGAGGATGAGGGCCGGGCCCCGGCACTCCTCAGGTGGGCCAGGCCTGGGGACAAACAGGTGCACAGTCTGCTAGAGCAGTGGCAGAACACAGTGAGCACACGGCTTCACAGAACCACGGGAGCCATTCTGTATGGAGTAGAGCCAAATACTGGAAAGGTTAAGGAACTGCCTGGGGAAATCCTTCTGTCAGAAAATTCTACTTGTCAGGCCAGTTAGGTGGCGCAGAGATTAAGGCAGCTGGAGCCTACATGGCAGCTGGACTCTCCATGGCTGACAGCACAGCTGGAGTCCCAGACCTGGCAGCTTAAAAAACATACCAGACACATGTGCGCATGTGTCCGAAATCCCAAGAGGAGAATGGAGAAGGGATCATGGCATGGCCATCTCTCCTGAAGGGTGATTTCTCACTTTCCAGCTCTGTCTCCCTCCAGCAAGCACACACACCCTATGGCAAACTAAAAAAAAAACAAAACAAACAAACAAACAAACAAACAAAAATCTAATTTGAAAAAATTTTAAAAATAAAATCCTGGGAATCAGCAGTTAGCGTAATGGCTATGTCGCTGGACTCCCACGTAGTCGACTGTGGTTCACGTCCCGGACCCGGTGGCTTAAAACTCACGCCGGGCGCATGTGCGTGCGTGCCCAAGAACCCGAGAGGAGAATGGAGGAGAAGGGATTGCGGCGTGACCATCCCCCCTGGGGGGTGATTTCTTGCTTTCTGTCTCTATGTCTCTCTCTGTCTGGCGAGCGCACGCGCCCTATAGCGAAAACCTCTCCAGAAAAAAATAAAAAGAAAAGAAAAGAAAAAAAAAAAAAGAAAAGAAAAGAAAAAAAAAAGAAAAGAAAAGAAAATCCTACCTGTTGGGGACCAGCAGGTGGCACAGTGGTTAAGGGCACTGGACTCCCATATGGTTGACCATGGTTTGAGTCCCAGACCTGGCGACTTGCTTTCTCACTTTCCCTCTCTCTCACTCTGTCCCTCTCTGGTCAAATTAAAATAAATAAATAAA